TCGCATGCATTTATTAATTATTATTATTCTCTGTTTTTCACTTCTTCTTTTTTTGCTTCTCCTCCTCTTTCTTCTTCTTCTTCTTCTTCTCCTCCTCCTTCTCCGTCTCCTCTTTCTTCTTTTCCTTTTTCTCCGTCTCCTCTTTCTTCTTCTTCTTCTCCGTCTCTCTTTCTTCTTCTTCTCTCTCCTCCTCTCCTCCTCTCCTCTTCCTCTTCCTCCTCCTTCTCCGTCTCCTCCTCCTCCTCCTCCTCCTCCTCCTCCTCCTCCTCCTCCTCCTCCTCCTCTCTTCCTCCCTCCTCTTCTCCGTCTCCTCCTCCTCCTCCTTACTTTTCTTCATCTTCTCCTCCTCCTCCTAATTTAGATATTGTGATGACAGTTTCTTTCCATTCAGAACAGCAAATGGACCCATAATCTATTTTTAAAAATCACAAAAAACAACCTTGGAAATCAATTTATATGGTATATGCAAGGGTGGATTTGCATGAAAAAGTAACGTACTAATGTGTAGCGTCAAGTGGGACTCTTCTTTAAGTAATAGTCTCATAAAGATTATAAAAATGTACGTGGGTCGCCGCCTCCTTCCCTCCCTCCCCTTATCGAAACGAAGGTTAAAAGAATAAAAAAATCGTATGTTATTTATTTACGATCGTATCGGTAATAAATACTTTAGTAAAGAAGTAAGAATGACTTTATCAAACCGAAAAAAAAACATTAAGAGTTTGAATTACTCGCTTTTCTCTCTTGTAGATATGACGAGGTGTGACCACCAGACCGTCTTTTGTTTTCACAATATGGCCGACGTCTGTGTTTATGTAGGCTATACTTAAATATGACCTAGTGCCTCTTTTTACGGAGGGGAATGGGCAGGAATGGTTTATAATCAGTACCGTCGCGGTTATTGACTCAGGATGGCAATAATGTTGACCTTTCTGGAGGTATTTATTATTGGGTCGCGAAAAGTTTGGGCGCCGGCGAAAATTGGCGGGAACTTTGAATGGCGGGAAGTTCCGCGGCTGGCGGTTGTGTACGTATATACATATACACGCGTTCTTACATACATACCTACATATACATAGATGCGTGCATACATACATACAAATGCATAAATACATACATACATACATACGTACCATACATACACACACACACACACAACACACACACACACACACACACACACACACACACACACACACACACACACACACACACACACACAACAATCACACATCACAATCACACAATCACACACACAACACCACCACACATCACACACACAATCACACAACACACACACACACACACACAACAGGATGTAAATGAAGCACAAAAGACAGAACTGATAGATACTCGATAGACACCCGCTGGCGTAGATACAAGGGAATTTAGTCCTTCTGAACGACGGATCACACATTCCCTTAGGAGGAGATAAGAGGCGGGACGACGAATGGACGAAGAGGGGTAGAGAAGGGAGATAGAGATAGATAGAGAGAGAGAGAGAGAGAGAGAGAGAGAGAGAGAGAGAGAGAGAGAGAGAGAGAGGAGAGAGAGAGAGAGAGAGAGAGAGAGAGAGAGAGATAAAGATAGAGAGAGAGAGAGAGAGAGAGAGAGAGAGAGAGAGAGAGGAGAGAGAGAGAGAGAGAGAGAGAGAGGAGAGAGAGAGAGAGAGAGAGGAGATAGAGGAGAGAGAGAGAGAAAGAAAGAAAGAGAGAGAGGAGAGAGAGAGGAGAGAAAGAGAAAGAGAGAGAGAGAGAGAAGAGAGAGAGAAGAGAGAGAGAGAGAGAGAGAGAGAGAGAGAGAGAGAGAGAGAGAGAGATTAGAAGAGAGAGAGAGAGAGATCGAACCGACAGATGGAGAGAGGGTGGATGATATTTATATGCAGCGGGGGCGTGGTTTGGTCGCGGGCGGACTTTGGCGATCCCACGGGCGACGGGCGAGGTGGGTATGGGGGGGGGGGGTAAGGGTGTTAGTTTTTTTTTTTTGTTTTTTTGTTTTTTTGTTTTTTTGTTCTTCCCTTCGTTGTTCCATATGCAATTCGTTTGACATGAATTCTTCTTCCTCTTCTTCTTTTCTTCTCCTCCTCCTCCTGTTCCTGTTCCCTCTTTCTCCTTCTTCGTCTTCCTTTTCTTCTTCTCCATCTCCTCCCCTCCCCCTCCCCCTCTTCTTTCCTCCTCCTCCTCTCCCCTTTTCTTCTTCTCCCTCCTCCACCTCCCCTTCCCTTCTTCCCTCATCCCCCTCACTTCTTCTTCTTCCTCCTCCCTCCTCCTCTCTTCTTTTCCTCCTCCTCCCATCCTCCTTCCTCCTCCTCCTCCTCCTCCTCCTCCTCCTCCTCCTCCTCCTCCTCCTCACTCCCTCCTCCTCCTCCTCCTCCTCCACCCCCTTCCTCCTCTCCTCCTCCCCTCCTCCTCCTCCTCTTCCCTCCTCCTCCTCTCCTCCCTCTCCTCCTCCTCCTCCTCCTCGCACGAGCATTTCAAGGAACAAAACAGAGGGAGGAGCCCGCCCAACTGGCCCAGAAACAAGAGGGTGTATCCGGCGTGCAGGGGGCGTGGGCGTGAGAAAACGGATGGTCGAGGGTTGGGTGGGAGGGTAGAAACAGAGGGTATACGGGCGTGCAGGGGCCGTGGGCGTGAGAGAAAGGATGGTCGAGGTTGGTGGGAGGGGGGTAGAAACAGAGGGTGTACGGGCGTGCAGGGCGTGGGCGTGAGAGAAAGGATGGTGGAGGGTTGGGGCGGAGGGGTAGAAACAGAGGGTATACGGGCGTGCAGGGCGTGGGCGGAGAGAAAGGATGGTGGAGGGTTGGGTGGGGAGGGGTAGAAACAGAGGGTGTATGGGCGTGCAAAGGGGCGTGGGCGTGAGAGAAAGGATGGTCGAGGTTGGGTGGGAGGGGTAGAAACAGAGGGTATACGGGCGTGCAGGGGCGTGGGCGTGAGAAGAAAGGATGTCGAGGTTGGGTGGAGGGGTAGAAACAGAGGGTGTACGGGCGTGCAGGGGCGTGGGCGTGAAGAGAAAGGATGGTGGAGGGTTGGGCGGGAGGGGTAGAAACAGAGGGTATACGGGCGTGCAGGGGCGTGGGCGTGAGAGAAAGGATGGTCGAGGGTTGGGCGGGAGGGGTAGAACAGAGGGTGTATGGGCGTGCAGGGGCGTGGGCGTGAGAGAAAGGATGGTCGAGGGTTGGGCGGGAGGGGTAGAAACAGAGGGTGTATGGGCGTGCAGGGGCGTGGGCGTGAGAGAAAGGATGGTCGAGGTTGGGCGGGAGGGGTAGAAACAGAGGGTGTATGGGCGTGCAGGGGCGTGGGCGTGAGAGAAAGGATGGTCGAGGGTTGGGCGGGAGGGTAGAAACAGAGGTGTATGGGCGTGCAGGGGCGTGGGCGTGAAGAAAGGATGGTCGAGGGTTGGGCGGGAGGGGTAGAAACAGAGGGTGTATGGCGTGCACGGGGCGTGGGCGTGAGAGAAAGGATGGTCGAGGGTTGGGGCGGGAGGGTAGCAAACAGAGGGTGTATGGGCGTGCAGGGGCGTGGGCGTGAGAGAAAGGATGGTCGAGGGTTGGGCGGAGGGGTAGAAACAGAGGGTGTATTGGGCGTGCAGGGGCGTGGGCTGAGAGAAAGGATGGTCGAGGGTGGGCGGGCGGGGTAGAAACAGAGGGTGTATGGGCGTGCAAGGGCGGTTGGCGTGAGAGAAAGGTGGTCGAGCGGTTGGGCGGGAGGGGTAGAACCAGAGGGTGTAGGGGTGCAGGCCGTGGGCGTGAGAGAAAGGATGGTCGAGGGTTGGGCGGGAGGGGTAGAAACAGAGGGTGTATGGGCGTGCAGGGGCGTGGGCGTGGAGAAGAAAGGATGGTCGAGGGTTGGGCGGGAGGGGTAGAAACAGAGGTGTATGGGCGTGCAGGGACGTGGGCGTGAAGAGAAAGATGGTCGAGGGTTGGGCGGGAAGGGGTAGAAACAGAGGGTGGGTATGGGCGTGCAGGGGCGTGGGCGTGAGAGAAAGGATGGTCGAGGGTTGGGCGGGAGGGGGAGAAACAGAGGGTGTATGGGCGTGCCAGGGCGTGGGCGTAAGAGAAAGGATGGTCGAGGGTTGGGGCGGGAGGGGTAGAAACAGAGGGTGTATGGGCGTGCAGGGGCGTGGGCGTGAGAGAAAGGATGGTCGAGGTTGGGCGGAGGGGTAGAAACAGAGGGTGTATGGGCGTGCAGGGACGTGGGCGTGAGAGAAAGGTGGTAGAGGGTTGGCGGGCGGGGTAGAATACAGAAGGGTGTATGGGGCGTGCAGGGGCGTGGTCGTGGAGAGAAATGGATGGTCGAGGTTGGGCGGAGAGGGGTAAGAAACAGAGGGTGTAACGGAGCGTGCAGGGACGTGGGGCGTGAGAAGAAAGGAGTGGTCGAAGGGGTGGGCGGGAGGGGTAGAAAAGAGGGTGTTATGGGCCGTGCAGGGGCGTGGGCGTGAGAGAAAGATGGTCCGAGGTTGGGCGGGGAGGGGTAAGAAACAGAGGGTGTATGGGGTTGTAGGAAGCGTGGGCGTGAGAGAAAGGATGGTCGGGGTTGGGGCGGGAGGGGTAGAAACAGAGGGTGTATGCGTGCAGGGGCGTGGGCGTGAGAGAAAGGAGGGTCCGAGGGTTGGCGGGAGGGGTAGAGAACGAGGGTGTACTGGCGTGCAGGGACGTGGGCGTGAAGAAAGGATGGCGAGGGTTGGGCGAGGGTAGAAACAGAGGTGTAGTGGGCGTGCAGGGGGCGTGGAGTGAAGAAAGGATGGTCGAGGTTGGGGCGGGAGGGGTAGAAAACAGAGGGGTGTATGGGCGTGCAGGGGCGATGGGCGTGAGAGAAGGATGGTCGAGGGTTCGGCGGGAGGGTAGAAACAGAGGAGTGTAATGGGCGTGCAGGGGCGTGCGTGGAGAAGGATGGCGAGGGTTGGGCGAGGGGTATGAACAGAGGGTGTATGGGCGTGGCAAGGCGTGGCGTGAGATGAAAGGATGGCGAGGGTTGGGCCGGGAAAGGGGTAGAAACAGAGGGTCGTTATGGGCGTGCCAGGGGCGTGGGCCGTGAAGATGACAAGGATGGTCGAGGTTGGGCGGGAGGGGTATGAAAAGAGGGTGTTATGGGCGTGAGGGGCTGGGCGTGAGATGAATATGGATGGTCGGGGTTGGCGGGAGGGGTAGAAACAGAGAGTGTATGGGCTCGCAGGGGCGGTGGCGTGAGAGAAGGGAATGGTCGAGGGTTGGGTCGGGAGGCGGTAGAAGACAGAGGTGTACGGGCGTGCAGGGACGTGGGCGTGACGATGAAAGATGGTCGAGGGTTGGCGGGAGGGGTCAGAAAGAGGGTGTATGGCGTGCAGGGGCCGTGGGCAGTAGAGAAAGGATGGTCGAGGTGGGCCGGGAGGGTAAAACAGAGGTGTATGGGCGTGCAGGGGCGTGGGCGTGTAGAAGAAAAGGATGGTCGAGGGTTGGGCGGGGAGGGGTAGAAGACAGAGGGTGATGGTCGTGCAGGGGCGTGGGCTGAGAGATAAGGATGGTCGAGGGTTGGGCGGGCGGGGTTAAGAAACAGAGGTGTATGGCGCGTGCAGGGCGTGGCGTGAGAGAAGGGATGTCGAGGGTTGGGCGTGGAAGGGGTAGAAACAGGAGGGTGATCGGGCGGAGGGGCGTGGGCGTGAGAGAAAGGATGGTCGGAGGGTTGGGCGGGAGGGGTAAGAAACAGGGGTTGTATGGGCGTGCAGGGGCGTGAGGCCCTGGGAGAAAAGATGGTCGAGGTTGGGCGGGAGGGCGTAGAAACAGATGGGTAATGGGCGTGCAGGCGGCGTGGGCGTGAGAGAAAGGATCGGTCGAGGTTGGGCGGGAGGTGAGGAAAACAGAGGGTAATTATGGGCGTGCAGGGGCGGTGGGCGTGAGAGAAAGAGGATGGTCGAGGGTTGGGCGGGAGGGGGCGAAGGGATGGAGGAGGACGACCGAGCCCATGGAGCGAGCGAGGGCGTGAAGCGAAAGTCGAAACGCGAGGTCGGACGTGGGCGTGAGCGGGTGGGTGATTGAAGCGTCCTATTCGCACGCGCCTCGGAAGGGGGAAACGTGCTTCACTCGCTGGTAAGGGCTGGTGGGCGGGGGGCCGGCTTGGTGGGCGGGCGGCGGCTGGGGGCGTGGCCCGGCTGGTGGGCGGGCGGGGCTGGTGGGCGGGGCCCGGTGGTGGGCGGGCGGGGCTGGTGGGACTCGGGCCGGCTTGGTGGGCGGGCGGGGCGGGCGGGCCTGGTGGGCGGGGCCGACTCTGGTGGGCGGGGCTTAGTGGCGGGGACTCGAGCGAAGGGAGGGGGCGCTCTCGTGCCGGTTTTTGTTTCCTTTTGTTTGTTTTTTGTTGTGACTTTGGAATGATTTCTCCTGTCTGTCTGTCTTCATCTATTTATATTGATCTAAGGTATGTCATGTGTAATGTAGTATAATCTATCTACGTATCGGAGTGTGAAGTATTGATATAGTATAAGTATGAGTTGTATGTGTGTGTGTTGAGAGAGAGAGAGAGAGACAGACAGACAGAAGACAGAAGACAGAGAAGACAGACAGACCCAGACAGACAGACAGACAGACCAGACAGAGAGACAGACAGACAAGACAGAGAGTATGACTGTGTGTGTGAGACAGAGGGCCCGAAGAGACAAATCAGACACCAGGCAGATAGACTCAGAAAGAGAGACAGTGATCAGACGTATACAGACGAGAGATCAGGACAGACAGGACACGACAGACTAGAGAGACAGACAGAGAGAATGAGTCCCTTAGTTGGTACAGTTTGTGGTTGTTGTGTCTTCGAGAAATGTCAAGTCGTCTTTGATAAGCAATGAGGATGATTTGATAAGAGGGAATTGTCTCGAGACGCTTGAAGGACTGAGGCCAATCAAATTCGTGACAATTCAAGCACACACACACACACATAATACATGAGCCATACAGCCACACACTACCACATATCACGACACTCACTCACTCTATATATCACTCACATCTTCTCTCTTTCTCTCTCTCTCTCTCTTCCTCCTTCTCTCGTCTCTCCTCTCTGCATCCTCTCTCTCTCTCCATCTTCATCTCTCTCTCATCTCTCTC